CATTAGTATTTCAATGGGAAGTGCGAGCCTGCTTTTGGCTGATGAGATAGGTTGTTGCTGTTGCTGTTGTTGTTGTTGTTGTTGTTGTGTGCTTTCAAGTCATTTCAGACTTAGGTTGACCCTGAGCGAGGGCCAGGTAAATGACCTAGGAGGGCCGTATACGGCCCCCGGGTCATAGTTCCATCTGAACATTAGGAACAACTTCCTGATTGTGAGAGCTGTTCAGCAGTGGAACTCTCTGCCCTGGAGTGTGGTGGAGGCTTCTTCTTTGGAGGCCTTTAAACAGAGGCTAGATGGCCATCTGTTGGGGGTGCTTTGAATGCAATTTTCCTGCTTCTTGGCAGGGGGTGGGACTGGATGGCCAATGAGGTCTCTTCCAACTCTATGATTCTATTATTCTATGAGACATAGGTTAGATCTACGCTTCCATGTTATGCGTTTGAAGCCTGTATAATGCTTTCATGGCATTTTAAGGCTGTATGGTTCTGGCCCAACTTACCTGTCCAAACCCGGGCCTTCTCAGTGGTGGCCCCTCGGCTATGGAATGCCCTCCCTAAGGATATCAGATCAGCCCCCTCCCTTCTAACATTTCGAAAGAGAGTTAAGACTTGGCTTTTCGAGCAGGCATTTCCAAATACAGTATGACAGGAAAATGGAATGGTTGGATGATGAGATTGGATAATGTTTTTAACAGGAGACCCTAATGTTCATGTTTTTACTGATTTTGTCATGTTTTTATTACTTGACTAGCCGTCCCCTGCCATGCATTGCTATGGCCCACATGGGGGTTCTGTGTAGGAGATTTGGTCCAATTCTATCATTGGTGGGGTTTAGAATGCTCTGTGATTGTAGGTGAACTATAAATCCCAGCAACTACAACTCCCAAATGTCAAGGTCTATTTTCCCCAAACTCCACCACAGTTCACATTTGGGCATATTGAGTATTCATGTCAAGTTTGGTCCAGATGCATCTTTGTTTGAATCCACAGTGCTCTCTGGATGTAGGTGAACTACAACTCCAAAACCAAAGGACACTGCCCACCAAACCCTTCCAGTATTTTCTATTGATCATGGGAGAACTATGTGCCAAATTTGGTTCAATTCAATTGTTGGTGGAGTTGAGAATGCTCTTTGATTGTAGGTGAACTCTAAATCCCAGCAACTGCAATTCCCAAATGTCAAGGTCTATTTTCCCCAAACTCCACCAGTGTTCATATTTGGGCATATTGAATATTTGTGCCAAATTTGGTCCATATCCATCACTGAGTGCACCGTGCTCTCTGGATGTAGGTGAACTACAACTCCAAAACTCAAGGTCAATGCCCACCAAATCCTTCCAGTATTTTCTGTTGGTCATGGGAGAACTGTGTGCCAAGTTTAGTTCAATTCCATCGTTGGTGGGGTTCAGAATGCTCTTTGATTGTAGGTGAACTATAAATCCCAGCAACTACGACTCCCAAATGACTAAATCAATTTGAGTGAAGGACATACATTGGATTGTTAAGTGTCTTGTGTCCAAATTTGATGTCAATTCGTCCAGTGGTTTTTGAGTTCTGTTAATTCCACAAACTAACATTATATTTTTATTTATATAGATTTTTATTGTATTGAAATTGTATTTATGGTCTTGGCACCCATTGTAAACCGCTCTGAGTCGCCTGCGGGCAGAGAGGGACGGTATATAAATATAGTAAATAAATAATAACAAATAAATAAATACTGACGCCCTTTGACTTTTTCTGCAGCTGTTCTCGGATGAGCCGCTCGGGTTTTTCTCAACCGCTGGCATCCTCAACCCGGCGAGAGAGGCATCGGGAATGGAGAAAGCCAGGCCGGATCCTCAGGAAAGTGTAAAGAAGACCCCCAAGGGACCAAGGACAAAGATGGCAGCGTTCCTGGAACAATCCATTACTGCATGCCACTTTCCATTTTGCCAAAACAGAAGCAGGAATTGTCGCTCTACTGTACTGATGCTGCATGTTCCCTTGGTCATGCATGGACACCCAACAACACCAACCAACCTGCAACAGTATTGATCTTGAGTGTGAAGTTGAGACGTGCCACAAGTTGGGTGTGCCTTACACTTCAACCAAAGCTAGCGAACAAGAATGTGGTGGAGGCTCCTTCTTTGGAGGCTTTTAAGCAGAGGCTGAATGGTCATCTGTCGGGGGTGCTTTGAATGTTATTTTCCTGCTTCTTGGTAGGATGGGGTTGGACTGGATGGCCCATGAGATCTCTTCCAACTCAAGGATTCTATGATTCTATGACTGTGAGATCACCCAAGCGGTGGCTGGAGAATTGTAGCTGTTTGGCACTTCTTTACCTGCCTTAATGCTATGGATTCTGGAGTTTGTAGTTTTGTAGGATATGTTAGCCTTTGTGGTGCCACAAAAGACTGCATAGTTCAGGACTCCTGTGGCAAAGGAGTGTCAAATTGCTATGGATCATTATGTGTCATGGAGATGCGACCCAAGTCTAAACATTGTTTACGTTTTATGTACACCTCCTACACTTACCCAAAAGTAATTTGATACAACTTTGCATGAAACCAAGTTTTTAGACATAAAGCCATCAGAAAGCAAAGGTGTCACCATGTCAGTCATGCAAGTGGACAATTTTGGAGGGGTTTTGGACCAGGAATGCTTAACCTGTAGTTGGTTGTAATTAATTCTTTCATAGTGTAACTGTAATTTTTGAAACACTCTTTTCCCAGTCACAAATAAATAAATGATGGTGGAGGGGAAATACCATATTGTTTTGCCATAAGGTAAAGGTAAAGGTTTTCCCTTGACATTAAGTCCAGTCGTATCCGACTCTGGGGGTTGGTGCTCATCTCCATTTCTGAGCCGAAGAGCCAGCATTGTTCAAAGACACCTCTAAGGTTATGTGGCCGGCATGACTGCATGGAGTGACGTTACCTTCCCACTGGAGCAGCACCTATTGATTTACTCACATTTGCAAGTTTTCAAACTGCTAGGTTGGCAGAAGCTGGGGCTGACAGCGGAAGCTCACCCCACTCCCCAGATTTGAACCTGTGACCTTTTGGTCAGCAAGTTCAGTATCTCAGTGGTTTAACCCACTGCACCACCAGGGGTTGAGGTCTTAGTGTGCCTTTATTAAAGATAACTTTGGGTCTGGAGATGAAAACAAACTGGAGCTGGGGCTGACAGCGGAAGCTCATGCCACTCCCCAGATTCGAACCTACAACCTTTCCATCAGCAAGTTCAGCAGCTCAGTGGTTTAACCCACTGTGCCACCATTTGACTGATATGGAACCTATATTGAGTTGTCTCTACCACAGACATCAGAAGAGTTGCAAGACCAAACACAAGCCACCCAGAGGAAAAGTGTTCTCACCATACATCAAGGGAACCATTGACCACATAGGGAAGCTGATGAAGAAACGCAACCTACACACTATCTACAGACCCACTAAGAAAAACCAACCAACAACAGTTCAGCAAAGGACAAGAGGGATCCTCTCACCTCGGCTGGAGTCTACCGTATACCATGCGAATGTGGACAAGTCTACAGAGGGACCCCCAAACACAGCAGCATTGCCCAGGCACGACTCAAGGAACATGAAAGGCACTGTGGACTACTAACTCAACCAGAGTTGAGCCAAACCATATAACATTCTGGCTTTCACCTGGTTGTCTATCATCCAACCTTATATCTAGAAGGAAGCAGGCAGCAAGTACAGTTTGTCTCAGGTTCAAAGAGTGCAAAGTATGGAACAACAGCAGCAACAGAGTCCTGAGTGGTTCCTGTTGTTGTTTATTGCCTTCAAGTAGTTTCCAACTTAGGAAACCTTATCATGAGGTCTTCTTATCAAAGGACATAGAGTGGGTTTCCATGGCCAAATGGGGAATCAAAACATGGTCTCTAGAGATATATAGTCCCAATGCTCAGACCATATAACATTCTGGCTTTCATCTGGTTGTCTTTCATCCAGCCTTATATCTAGAAGGAAGCAGGCAGCAAGTACGGTTTGTCTCAGGTTCAAAGAGTGCAAAGTATGGAACAACAGCAGCAACAGAGTCCTGGGTGGTGGTGGTGGTGGTTGTGTGCCTTCAAGTAGTTTCCGACTTATGGAGAACCCAAGGCAACCTTATTGTGAGGACGTAGAGTGGGGTTCCATGGCCAAATGGGGAATCAAAACATGGTCTCCAGAGATATATAGTCCCAACGCTCAGACCATATAACATTCTGACTTTCACCTGGTTGTCAGTCATCCAACCTTATATCTAGAAGGAAGCAGGCAGCAAGTACAGTTTGCCTCAGGTTCAAAGAGTGCAAAGTATGGAACAACAACAGCAGCAAAGTCCTGGGTGGTCCTTCTTGTTGATGTTGTTGTTGCATGCCTTCAGGTAGTTCCCAACTTAGAAAACCTTATCGAGAGGTCTTCTTATCAAAGGACATAGAGTGGGGTTCCATGGCCAAATGGGGAATCAAAACATGGTCTCTAGAGATATATAGTCCCAATGCTCAGACCATATAACATTCTGGCTTTCACCTGGTTGTCTTTCATCCAACCTTATATCTAGAAGGAAGCAGGCAGCAAGTACAGTTTGTCTCAGGTTCAAAGAGTGCAAAGTATGGAACAACAGCAGCAACAGAGTCCTGCGTAGTGGTGGTGGCTGTTGTTGTATGCCTAAGGATGTAGAGTGGGTTTCCATGGACAAATGGGGAATCAAAACATGGTCTCCAGAGATATATAGTCCCAACTTTCACGCCATACACCATTCTGGCTTTCACCTGGTTGTCTATCATCCAATCTTATATCTGGAACCAAGCAGGCAGCAAGTAAAATTTATTTTAGTTTCAAGGAGTGCAAAGTATGGAACAACAGCAGCAATAGAGTCCTGGGTGGTGGTGGTGGTGGTGGTTGTTGTGTGCCTTCAAGTAGTTTCTAACTTGTGGAGATCCTAAGGCAACCTTATCGTGAGGTCTTCTTGCCTAAGGACATCGAGTGAGTTTCCATGACCAAATGGGGAATCAAAACATGGTTTCCAGGGATATATAGTCCCAACGCTCACGCCATACACCATTCTGGCTTTCACCTGGTTGTCTATCATCCAACCTTCTATCTGGAAGGAAGCAGGCAGCAAGTACAATGTTATCTAGGCCTCTGTCCCCACTGCTTCATACACTTCACTGAAGAAGATTCGGAGTTCATTGAGTCATGGAGTAAATAGCTTCCCAGTTATGGCTTTTTTGGTGACTCAGAAGGAATCTCCTAAAAGGAGGAAATGGACTGTGGCAGGAAGCTGAAGGACAGAGAACAATGCAGACTTGTATTAAGAACTGCAACAGAAAGATGCTGAAGGACACGTACGACCTGGGAAGCAGTAGGTGTTGCTACAAGCAGAAATTTTCCTTCTGTCATCCTCTGGATTCCTGGCCTGACAGACTGACACATCTCCTGAAGTGACTGAAGATACGGCCTTCATGAAGCAATGAACACCACCAATGCAACACAGTGTCCCCCAGTGGAGTTGCACCTGGTCATCCCAACTCTCTTGAGTGTCTTCTCCTTGGTTGGACTTGTCTTCAATGGCTTCAGCTTGTGGATCTTCTGGTTCGTCATCAAGCACTGGAATTCAGGTGCCATGCTCCAGTTTAGCCTCGCCTTGGCGGACAGCATGATCCTTCCGCTCGCCCCTTTGATGGTGACCTATTTCTACTTGGGCAGCCACTGGCCTTTTGGGGAATTTCTTTGCCAGCTTCTAGCCTTCTTGCTCAACACCCACTTCTATGGGAGCGTCTACTTCCTGACGCTCATCTGCATCCACAGGTACCAAGTTATTGTCCACTACAACACCAAGACACTCTGGAGGCGGAGATCCTCCTTGAAGAAGCTCATCTTGGTCTTCTGGTCTCTCCTCTTTCTGCAAGGGCTCCCGCTGTTCTTCTTCCTCAAGACCTCGGTCATCAGCGGCAAGGTGAAGTGCATGAGCATCCTTCAGTCCGAGATGTCCTCCCTCTACTTCGCCTATGGCATTTTGAGAGGGACCTGCTTCCTTCTCTCCTTCGGCATCACCTTCATCTCCTACATGAGGCTGGGGATCTACATTGCGAACATCAACCCAGCCAGTCTCAGAGGCCAGGTGATGAAGACCAAATCCATACAGATCATTGTCCTCACTCTCCTCGTTTATGCCGTCGGCTTCGTGCCCGTCCACGTCTGCATGACAGTGGCTGCCATCATGAGGCTTTATGAGATCTCCTGCACACTTCTCAACCATATCCAAATCGCCTATTATGTTTCTGTCGTCTTCAGCGTGGTCAACTCTTGCCTCGATCCCTTCATCTACAACTTTGCCAATGAGAAGTTTCACAAATTTATTTCCCAGTTCTTAAAGAAGTTCTTCCTCTCCAAGTGACAAATTGGGAAGAAGAATAGGTAAGGCATCCATGTACAAAGTGAATACAAGTTGGCGTTTTTTCACCTATCGGCTTTGTGGAATTAATGCAGTTCAACAACACTTTCAAGGCTATGGAATCATGTGAGTTGTAGTTTGGTGAGGCTCCAGCACTCAGAGAAGGCTAAAGATCTTGTTAAATTACAGTTCCATGATGACGGTGCAATTAGCCATGGCAGTTCAAGTGGTGCCAAACTGCATTAATTCTATGGTGTAGATCAGCGTTTCTCAACCTGGGGGTCAGGAGGGTTTCAGAGGGGTCGCCAAAGACGACTAGAAAAGACAGTATTTTTCTGTTGGTCACGGGATTTCTGCGTGGGAAGTTTGGCCCAATTCTATTGTTGGTGGGGTTCAGAATGCTCTTTGATTGCAGGCGAACTATAAATCCCACTAACTCCCAATAATTCTGGAGACCAGAACCGAACACAGCCTCCAAAGATGTAAAATGATGAGGAAAAGCCTATATATTCCTTTATCTCAGGGGTCCTAATGCCGCTACTCCTTAATTCAGTTCCTCATGTTGTGGTGACCCTCAACCATAAATTATTTTCATTGCCACTTCACAATTGTAGTTCTGCTACTGTTGTGAACCATAATGCAAATATCTGAGATGCAGGATGTATTTTCATTCACTAGACCAAATTTGACACAAATACCTGATACACCCACATTTGAATCCTGGTGGGGTTGGATTGATTTTGTTATTTGGGAATTGTAGTTGCTGGGATTTATAGTTCACCTACAATCAAAGAGTATTCTGATCTCCATCAATGATGGAATTGAACCAAACTTGGCACACAGAACTCCCGTGACCAACAGAAAATACTGGAAGGGTTTGGTGGACATATTGACCTTGAGTTTTGGATTTGTAGTTCACCTACATCCAGAGAGTACTGTGGACTCAAACAATGATAGATCTGGACCAAAAGTGACAGGAATCCTCAATATGTCCAAATGTGGTGGTTTTTGGAAAATAGACCTTGACATTTTGGAGTTGTAGTTGCTGGGATTTATAGTTCATCTACAATTAAAGAGCCTCTTGAACCCCACCAATGATAGAATTGGAACAAACTTCCCACAGAGAAGGGACTCACTGGTGTGAGCCTCCCTCCAGCCTCGCCCGCTCTCCCTTACCGCGCGCATGTGTATCATGCTGCCATGCGCCAAGCATGCCTGCTCTCCCCACTTGGAGTCTCAGAAAGAACCCTCCTCTTGGTTGAGAGGCCGGCCAATCACAACGGAGGAGGGCTTTTGGTGGATTTGCCATCTGTTTCCAAAAAGGAAGAGGAGGACAGGCAGAGCGATCTTCAGCCTTCTCTGCCAAAGAAGTTCCTAAGACCATCAGAAATATATGTTTTCTGATGGTCTTTGGCGACCCTTCTAAAACCCCCTCAGAGGTCCCGACCCCTAGGTTGAGAAACACTGATCTAGACACTAGACACTTTTTGATCCAGCCCAAAATCCCATTGTTTTTTTAAACTGCTGCATCACACTCTTGGCTCATGTTCAACTCGTCCCCGAAGACTTCAAGATCTTTCTCGCATGGACTGTTGTGGATCCAGGCGTCCCCCATTCTATATCATTGCATTTCATTGTTTTTTGCCTATGTGTAGTATTCATTTTGTTAGTTTTGGCTAATCAGCTCTGCAATGTGTTCCAGAACATTTGTCTTCAAGAGTGCAAGGACTACACAGAGATCGGGAGGGTCCCTTGTAGACTGCATGAGTTTCCCCGAGTCTTCCTCCATCCTTGCTTTTGCTTTTTGTAACTGATCAGGTTTGGACATTCCCAGAAAGCAGAGCCTGAGAGAGGAAATGAATGTGAGAAACCGTAATGGTTTGCAGCTTGCGGAAATGCAGTTGTGGTTACAGGTTCAAATCAAGGCAAGGGGAAGGAAGCAAGCGATGGCCGGTTCTGACTCCTGTTTCCTCTCCACCAAGCCAAGCTTGCCCAACTTACCCAACTCCTTTCAGTTTTCCTCCTAGGTTTTGTTCTCTATCCTTCTTGTCAGTCTTCTTGTCCTTTCTATATCTTTCTCAAAATGAGTGCCCGAAACTGAAAATGCCCAAGATGCATCAACATTTCTGGTTTCCATATGGAGAACTTCTGCCAGTTTTGTTGCGCCCATGAGATGTAGAATTCATAAAGCTGCTCAGTGTGGCCCATTGTGTATAATCTCATCCTTTGTTCCTAAAGTGGAAATCTATCTATACACAGAATTTGCTTGGTGTTTTGTTTTTACTGATGTGTTGTTGGGCTTGGCCTCATGTAAGCCTCCCCGCGTCCCCTTGGGGAGATGGTGGCGGGGTATAAATAAATTATTATTATTATTATTATTATTATTATTATTAGAGTGAAAATATGTATGTGTGTATGTGGCTGGGGTGCCAATTTACACATATAGCTCCCACTACTCAGGAGACACCAATGGCCCTCCCTCCAATGACATTGCAGGTTATAGCGAGTGCCGTAAACATATACAACAGCCCTGCCAATGTCCTACACCAGGGGTCCCCAAACTACGGCCCGTGGGCCACTTCTGGCCCGCCAAGGGCACTTATCCGGCCCGTGGAGGAGCGCCCCCCCCACACAGTGCCCCTCCCTTGGCTGGCTCATGCTATCCGTCAGGCCCGATAGGCAGCGTGAGCCAGCCAAGGGCAGCTGCTCCGCATGGCCTACTCGCGCGTAAAGCACCTTGCGAGGTGCTTTACTCGCAAGTAGGCTACGCGAGGCTGCTCCTCCCTTGGCAGGCTCACGCTATCCGTGAGGCCCGATGGGCAGCGTGACCCAGCCAAGGGAAGCTGCTCCGCATGGCCTACTCACGCGTAAAGCACCTCGCGAGGTGCTTTACTCGCAAGTAGGCTGTGCGAGGCTGCTCCTCCCTTGGCAGGCTCACGCTATCTGTCAGGCCCGATGGGCAGCGTGACCCAGCCAAGGGAGACTGCCCCGGTGCTCCATGCAGTCATGCCGGCCACATGACCTTGGAGGTGTCTATGGACAACGCCGGCTCTTCGACTTAGAAATGCAGATGAGCACCACACCCCAGAGTCAGACACGACTGGACTTCATGTCAGAGGAAAACCTTGAACTAGGAAAATTGTGGAAGATCCAGGGTGGGAGAAAGAACTCTTGTCTGTTGGAGGTAGGTATGAATGTTTCAATTGGCCACCTTGATTACCATTTCATAGCCTGACAGTTTTTAGGGAGAATCCTTTGTTGAGAGGTGATTAGCTGGCCCTGATTGTTTCTTGTCTGGAGTTCCCCTGTGTTTGAGTGTTGTTCTTTATTTACAGTTATAATTTTAGAGTTTTTTTAATACTGGTAGCCAGATTTTGTTCAGACTAGAAATAGGAAGATTTCCCATTCTCTGCTCCTAGAATTACTGCCCAAAGAGGGCGAGAAAGAACCCTTCCACACAGCAAAATAAGATATGTGCAATGTGCATAGGAATTTTTTATTGATTTTTTTTTAAAAAAACCTATAGCCCGGCCCTCCAACAGTCTGAGGGACAGTGAACTGGCCCCCTTTAAAAAGTTTGAGGACCCCTGTCCTACACAAACACCATACTGCTCACTGCCCAAGTGAATATTTTCATACAGGGACAATTTCATCCTGGATTATATGTGTTTCCTCTACCACAGACAGACATCCCCGTGTTCTTTACTCTCTCCATTGGTGTGGAATTTGCATGACCCCGCCTACTGCCTCTCCCTTAACCCTTTACTATTCTAACAAACAAAGGAATTGATCTGCAACTGAACATACTAGAGAGGCTTGGGGAAAATTCACCATGATTTATAGGAGTTGTAGGTATTGGGATGTATAGTTCATCTGCAATCCAAGAACACTCTGAACTCCACCAACGATTGACCTGGAATTACCTATACAGAATCCCCATGACCAACAAAATATACTGGAGGTCTTTGGAGAGATTTATAGGAGTTGTAGTTCACTTACATCCAGGGTGCACTATGAATCCAAACAATGATGGATCTGGACCAAACTTGGCATGCATGCCCAACATGCCCAAATTTGACTACTGGTAGGTTTTGGGAGGAACTGACCTGCAAATTTTGGAGTTGTAGGTACTGGGATTTATAGTTCACCTGCAATCAATGAGCACTCTGTACTCCTCCAAAGATAGAATTGGACCAAACTTGGCATACAGAGCCCCCATGACCAGCAAAAATACTGGATTTCTTTGGGGAAAATTCACCTTGATTTGGGGGAGTTCTAGTTCACCTACATCTAGAAAGTACTGTGAACCCAAACACCGATGGATCTGGACCAAACTTGGCACTCATAATTGATATACCGAAATTTGATTACCGGAGGGGTTTGGGATTTATTTTTATTTATTTATTTACTCCATTTGTATACCGCATTTATCAGCCTGGGACGGCGACTCAATGCGGTTTACA